GGCGGCGGCGGCGGCGGCGGCGGGAGGCGGGCGCTGAGCGCGGTCTGTGCCGCGCAGGTGACGGCCGAGGCCCGCTGCAGGCTGGTGAGCTGGCTCATCCCGGTGCACCGCCACTTCGGCCTGTCCTTCGAGGCGCTGTGCCTGACCGTGAACACGCTGGACCGCTTCCTCAGCACCACCCCCGTGGCGGCCGACTGCTTCCAGCTGCTGGGAGTCACTGCCCTCCACATCGCCTGCAAGCAGGTCCGGCCTGGCAGGGAGGGGGTTGTGGGTGGGGGCAGGCGCCTGCCCGGGCGAAGCCCCTCTGCCTTGGCCGCCTGGGCGTTAGGAGGGTGCTCTACTCTCACCGCTGTGTAACGCTGTTGCTGCAGGTGGAAGTGCACCCGCCCAGAGTGAAGCAGCTCCTCGCCCTTTGCTGCGACTCCTTCACCCGCCAGCAGCTCTGCAACCTGGAGTGCATCATCCTGCACAAGCTGCACTTCAACCTGGCCGCCCCGACTATCAACTTCTTCTTGGAGCATTTCACCCAGGTGCGTATGGAGGCTGGGGAAGGCCATGCCGAGGAGGCCAGCAATGCCAAAACCCTGGCCAGAGGTGTGGCTGAACTTAGCCTGGCAGACTATGCTTTTAACAAGTATGTGCCCTCCCTGCTGGCCGTTTCTACCCTAGGGCTGGCCGATCAGATGCTGTGCCACCAAAACCCGCTGGACCTAAAAATAAGTGGCTACCCGCAGGGGGTTTTACAGGACTGCATGGACAAACTGCTCTTGCTGGTGTCTCTGAACGGAGACTCTTTATCCCACGTGCTACCCCAGGAGTTTTCCCAGAGCTGTCTGGAGCTGGGAAGCTAGCTGAAGCAATGCCCTTGGACAATCCCTCAGGCCATTTGAAGCATCGGGAGATTTTAAATAATATTTCCTGTCCATCAATGTTTTTATGAACTACCAGCTTGCTGATAATTGTTGTACCTTCAGAAATAACAGTATTTCCCTTAGATTCTTGCTTAGTTGACAAGTCAGCCTGTTGTCTGTACTGTATTTATTTCTGCTCTCTAGGCTTAACGTCTATACACTTTAGAGCTTAATCAACTAAGCAATAGTGTCCTTTTAAAGAACTAAAATTAACTCTTATTTGCACATTATATATTTTTTTTGTTTCTTGCACTGACATTAGACTTTATAATGATATCCAGTGTAAACAGTGTACATAATCCAATTCCTGTACAGTTTATTTATATAGAGGATGGTTTATAAACGTACCTCAAGGGCAGGCATAGGAAAAATAAAAGTACTGTATAAAATTTCTTAATAAACTTCTGTCACTGATCACTGAAGATAGTGTGTTTTGCTTGCAGTACTTATACATCATACACCTTGGAGATTGTTACTGGAGCATTATTCTGGTAGTCTTGTTTCACTCTGTAGAAAATAATTGTGTATACTTGTATTATTTTCCCTTTCAAAATGCATTTTTGTCAGCATGGTCATATTCCACATGTGAAAAAAAATTAGTTCATATGCCACAGCAGTGTAAAATAAACCACATAATAAATGATGATAAGTTTATAATTTTCTCAGTACATCTAAATATATGCACTTAATCACCAGAGCTGTAGGTGTTTCATAGCAGGGGGAAAAGTAAAAAGAAAAGGCAAACACTATAAAAAAAAATCTTGCAACATAATTCTTACTTTTCTCCTTTAACTTGTGCTGAACTATGAATTTGAGGTAATACATAGGTCACACCAATTTCATAACATAGACACTTACAGTGTATGAACTGGTGGTACTCCCTATGTCTGCCTCTTAGAGCACAACAAGATGTTTCACACACTAGAAAAGTGTATGACACAATTGTCAATAGGAATGACTAAGCAAATGTAAGAAAAGATGCTACTAGTAATTTATCTGGAATGTCATGTAGGGACATGGCACCTATATACAATGAAACACAAGAAGAGATGAATGTAATCTACCTGAAAAAATCTTAAGTGAATTCAGTGGGACTTCTTACAAGAGTGAAATTATTCCTTTGGTTTAAGTATTTTCATGGTTGAGCCATAAGAATGCAGTTGTGGGACACTTAGATTGTAAGAAAGGTCCCAGGACAGAGCCATCTTGCCCAGTATTGCATGTCTCACTGTGGGGGAGAGCAGATGCTAAGGAAAGACTATGTGCAAAGGCTGTACAGACTAATGGCCCCAGCCCCTCATCTCTTACAGATTTTAGTATTCACAGGTCTAGAAAGTTCTGATTTAAAGGTTGCATCCCCGGCTATGCTCTTTAATACCCACTGATAAATCAGTGTTAATTAAGATGCACTAATGCATGAATTTAATCCTCTTTTGAATCTAGTTAAATTACCAGCCTCTACACTTTCTTGGGGCAATGAGTTCCACAAGTTCACACATGTGAAAAGAACTTTCTTTTCTTTGTTTTGAACCTGTTACCTAATAGTTTCACTAAGAGGCCATGATATGTCTCCTAGTTCTAGCGTTGTGAAAGATAATAAATATTGAATCTCCATTTACTTTTTCCCATGATTGTATAGCTTTGTCACATCCACCCTTAGTCATCTTTTCTCTAAGCAGAAAAATTTCAGCCTATGTAGTCTCTCCTGGTGTCTGATTGGCCAAGTCAGTTTCAGATATTTTAAATCCATTATCATTTTTTGAAGATGTGAGTGGGTCCCAGTTTGCTTCAATTAATGTAATCCAACATTAAAGGAAAAACAAACAAACCACCAGAACCCTGCAAAGGCAAACCTATAGGCCACCATTGGAAATACAGCCTGCAGATGCGGTTTAGTTAAATAAAAATTAGCCTGTTTTCAGAATGGTCCAAAATGCCTTATCAGAAGTGTAAACATGGAGGGGACCTCAGTAAGGTGTTTAGTCCATCCCTGTGTTGAGAGGGGAGATGAGTACACCTAGAACAGTGATTTTTAACCTTTTTCATTTTCAGACCCCTAAAAAAATTGAATGGAGGTGTGGGCCCCTTTGAGCTGTAAGTGTGGGTATTCACATACTTTTGATTGATCATTGTAATCTTTTGGGGACTCCTTAGCCATAGTCTGCACAGGCCACAGGTTGAAATCCACTGCCCTGGACCATCCTGCCCAGATGCTTGTCTCACCTGTTCTCTCACTGAGGGAGATCAGGCAACCTCTTGGCCGGGTGCTGCAGCGCATCCTTATTCTTATAGGTGGAAAGGTTTTACTTTTCCTAATGCTAATGATTTTTTTGCTGCAAAGGAAGCTCATAACCCCCGTTCATGTACTGGAAGACTACTGGCAGGAGTCCCTCAATCTACTCTTTCCTGAACTAAAACCACAAGGGATGCTGATGCCGTCCCTCTGGGCTCTCTCCAGCCCCACACCTTGCTTCACGTGCGGCGTGGATGTATCAGCGGGTCTCAGAAGCCCGCCGGCCGGCCCGTGCCCCAGGCCCGCCCGGGCGGCGCCTCCCTTTGTCCGGACACACTCGCGGGCTGGGAGCGCCGCACTTCGCCGCTTCTCCAGCCTCCAGGAACAGATGGCGAGAGCACAGCCCGCAGCTCTCGTGTCGCAGCCCGTGGGGGGGTTACCCGACCTCCCACCCCGGACGCTGGGAGCCACCTGCTCGCGGGAGCTGCGGCTCGCCCCGTGCAAGCGCGGGTGCCTCGCAGCCCTTCCCGGGCGGGCGGGGCCGGGAGCGGGCGA